TACACTAGATTTGAAGTCTTCCATAAGCTTTGTGTCTAAATTTTAAGTCGTTAAATTTTAAAATGTCAAAGATTTCATTGGTTCTTGTGTGACTACTTCTCTGAGCAGCATGAACATCCTGTCAAACAACATTTTAACATCATGAATGTGAGTAAATGATGACACAGTTCTAATTTCTTTGGTACAGTATGATTGAAAATAGTTTGTATGGGTCCACAACTCAATTTGTCTCTGATCTTTCTGTCTAACATTAATCCTGGCCTGTCCCTGCTCTCTTGGCAGCATAGCAGGCTCATATTGTATGGCTGTGGTCCGTCATACGAGATCCATTATTCTCTTACGAGAGGTTCTCTCGTACTGCATAACATCTTACACCAGGGGAAAACCTATTTTCCACGAGATATTGAAGCCAAAAATTATCCTTAATTTTGAATTAATTTAAAACGCGTTGCGGCAGCATGCAGACAATAGACGGCTCGCGTGCCTATTGGCTGTCCTGCGGCAACTGCAGCAGCCTATCAAGAGAGGCCCTTGGTGACATCAGATCTAATGGGGGCGCTTCGCCTTCAGTCGCCTTACCTGCTACGCTTTCCGGCGTTTATATCCTTTTACACTGCCGAGTGTATGTTTGCCGCTACGACTCTGACTATCTAAAAGAGCAGCGTCTTTTTAAAGATGCCTCATTCCTGTGGCTCGTGCCGATGGGGACCGCCATTTCATTTGTGTTTCCTGCCTGGGTAAGGATCACGCAGCTCTTGTGCTCACTGACGGCAGCTGCCATCATTGCAAGCTATTGCCCATGGTGACTCTGAGAACTCGCCTGGCATTTTTCTCAGAGTTTGCACTTCCGCCCTCTATAGTGCCACACTGTAAAAAGCGCCGTACTCAGAGGGTCCCTGAACCCTCTCCAGCCAGCTTCACCTGTTTCAATCGAGTCACTCACTGACTGCCGCCATTACTGACAATGAGATAGCTGCATCTGTAGAGGAGGCCAACTGCTCTATCCTGGCGTCTGACAGTGAGGATTGGGTGAGCTCTTTGGATCCCCCCTCTGCACACGAGTCTCCACGGAAAGAAGGCCAGCATCGAATCCGAGGTGATGCGTCTGCTCTTACAGGCCATAGCAAGCTTCGCCAACTGGCCTCTTTGGGTCATCTTTCAAAGATTTTGCGGATAGATTCGCTGAGGTTCAGAAGACATCACCGGCTATGAGGCACTTCTTACCAAAGCGCTCTAGCTTCACAGCAGATCGCCCAAAACAGCCGTCTCCTCGAAGCTCCCAGCCACAGCCTCCGCCCGCTGCCGCTTCACAGCGCCATCAAGCCTGGGACCAGAGACTACGCTGTCGCTCTGAACAGCACGGCCCCCCACCTCAAAAGCTGCAAGCACAGTGTTTACGTACGTTACAGCACATCGAAGATCTCCGGTAGCCACTATGTTGCGGCTAGAGCCCAGATCTCATTCTACCCCTATCCATGCAAATGCGTGGGCAAAGCTTCCCGGGGTATCAGAATGGGTGCTGAACATCATAAAAAGCCTGTTACGTCTTGCCCGCCACGCCCATTTTCAGATGCTGAAGTAAAATATTCTCACAAAAACAAGCGTATAAGTGTATTTTAAAAAGAAAATCTAGTTCCTACATTATTTTTCTATACATTGACTCATTGGGTCCTCTAAACTTTAATATGCCCTTTAAGTTTATATGTAAAAACAGAAGATGACCTTCATGTCCACAAACATACTTGGAGGTGTCCTGATTTTGCTTGTCACACAGTTGAGATGATGAAGACTCATTATTCAGCACAGGTATGACTCATAAGAAGCCATATTGCCTAAAGCCATGCAGTGTCTGTGAGCTGTGAGGCCCCAGAGACGGGCTGTATTTCACTGTGAAATTAAACGCTCCTGCGCTACACAAACAACCTCATTATGCCCTGTTCGCCCAGGAAGATTTGCTGCAGAATGTTTTGCCCAACTTCTGCTGATATGGGGGTGGAAGAGAGGAATGCATAACACATGGCAGTTTCTCATCTCTGAGCGACATTTATGTTAAATACTCAAGTCAAAGTGTGATTCTACTGCTGATGTCCAACACATAAACTGTCTAGAAAAAAACTGTCATTTTCCTTATATTAATACATTTCAATGATTCAATTGGCTTTATGCCCAGCTGCACTACTTCCTGAACTTCAGCCAGCTCCTTGTTTCCTGTCTGCCATTATTGGCCAAATTGATTAATTCAGGTGTGTCTGATTATTGTTGCCATGACTACTGAGGTCAGGTACACCTGAATTAATCAATTTGACCAATAATGGCAGACAGGAAACAAGGAGCTGGCTGAAGTTCAGGAAGTAGTGCAGCTGGGCATAAAGCCCATTTAAAGTCCTTATTGGTATTTTTTCACACAATTAACTGTTTTTGGGGCCGCGGCGGCCACTTCGCCAAACGAGCCTAAAATATGGTTCCTGAAGCAAAACCAATAGAGAACCTCGCTACACACTTTGTATGGTTACTTGTAATCTTAGTGTAGTTTTTTGTTGTCTACTACTTTTCATTTGACCCCATTCATCTGTGTTCTGGCATCTTCCACTGTCTTTTGACCAAATGAGGCTGGTTCCCCTCCAGCTGCATCTCTTATCAGCGTGGCACACAAACCCAGCCGTGAGTCTGGACCATGCCTGTGCCTTGAGCTCTGGCTGCCAGCCGCCTGCACATCGACGCTCTTCTGAGACGGTTAAGAATCAACATTCGATCACTAGCCAGCACTGTTGCAGATGCCGAATCAAGTTTACGTTTATCTTCTCACTGCATTTTGTAAAACAACCATGGCAGTCAAATATCTTTTTAAATCACAAAAGAAAGTTCTTAGGAGTGTCTTCTGTGAGAGACATGTGGTTTGATGGCCTTCGAGGACTGGAACAGCAGGTGACTGTTGCTGTGGTGCCATGCTGAGCAGTAAAGGTCACTTTTGATGGAGCTGGTTGCAAAAATATTACATTTTCTCTTCACAGGGGTGGCCTATAGACATCTAAAGATAGAAGCACAGGTCAAAGGGTCCCAATACATAACTGGCCAGACACAATCCTAATCTTAAAACAAACCTTCCTATCTCCTCCTCTGGAGAAGGATTCATTAATTTACATGTGTTACATACTTTACCTGCCCAAAACTCTTGATTACCATGAAAAAAGAGGCACTCCAACCCCCCTCCCAAGAGAGATTAGAAACTTAACTCCAGCAGTCATTTGGCCTGTGAGGAAGGACAATGCAGGAGGTGGTGGGGCTGCAATGTGTGGCACTGCGTCCTGCTGTTCTCCTTTTCGCCATGCTGACTAATGACCTTCCCCCCTCCTCCAGCCTTCGCCTTCTCCTCCTCCTTCTTTCCACCCCTCCCCCCTTGCCCTCTCACGCGATCTCCCATCCCCCCTGCTCCTCTCAGGGGTGGAGTCCAGCCAGAGAGGCGTCCATCACAGGTCTTTAGATTAGCCACAACGCCGCTCAGGACAAAAGAGCTCCTCCCCCCACACCGGGCCCCCTCCCAATCACAGTCCCCACGTCCTGATAGCTAATGGAGGAGGGGATGCGTCATGGACACAGAGAAGTTCACAGCTCTGCACTAATACCACAGCGCTCCTCAGCAGATCAAGTATGGATCTGACAGGGATGCCTCTCTGTTTGAGATAAACATGCTCGAAATGACAAGCCGTGAAGCCTCACACTGTAAAAGAAGATGAGAAGTGACATTTTAAAACCACAGAAATTACAATGGCAAAAGCTTGATGTATGATACATTTTGATATGAATGTAAATGTCTAAAATGATTCTGTAATCTTATTTCTTATAGGCCCACTATAAGAGAATTCATTCATATAATCAACTCAAGGCAAAGAAACAATTTAATTTATGATACCCTCTAAGTTCAGGCTTTTTGGACATCAATGTGAGTAGATCACAAACAACAAGAGGAAATATGGCATTATATGATAAACATCAAATTTAACGACGAAAACTGATCTACCACACATCTACCAAGAAAAAAAGGTGTCCAAATCAGACATTTAGGGCTGTGTGCTGCAAGTTAATTATGTAGGCTATGTATTTTTATCTATTTTCTTTAACATTTGTTATTTTTACATGCTAGCATATCTGAATGAAGCCATGGTTTTCTTCCACGATCAAGAAAAATGTCTGAAAACACACTTGAAGTCAGATGAAACAGCCCATTCAGGCAAGCCACAGCAAGCACGTGGTCAGTCAAATTGAGAGTCGTTGTTGGAGGGACCTCTGCTGGAAATCAAATGTAGTGCATATATGGACCAAATGACAGGAGATTTCTGTTTCGTAATATAGACCTCGTTGTTTTATAAATGTAATAAAAATGAATAGCTGATGAATAAAGTAAATGAAAGCAATTAAAAATCATTATTTAGCCTAGGCTACTCACCCTCATGTCGTTCAAGCCTGTTTGAGTTTCTGTCTTATTGTGGAACACAAACAAATATATTTTGAGGAATATTTCAATTGTTTCGTGCAATGTTCAAGACCGGTCAAATCTTTTGGTGTATTTGGGATATGTCAGTGCCTTTAGATCCTCTCTCTGTGGTCTATCAAACGATCTTATTTCATATGTTTTTATTTGCTATCGTCTGTTGACATTTTTGGTGGGACAATTTTCTGACTTTTTCCACATAACTATCTTTTTTGGATTTAAAATTGTAATTTTTATCTATAAAATGAATAATTAGAAGTTGTCATTTGAAAACCTTGAGGGCCATCTGAATTCCTGGAAAACTTTATTTACTGTAGTTCACCAATACAAATTAGACTAGTGAATAAATTTTGTACATAAGTATGGGGGGGTGGGGGGGGGGATATCACAGAGTGGGAATTTTCCAGAGTTGGACAAAGTTAAAAAAATTAAGTTGTACGTTTGATTATTTCTGTTCTCAAAATACTCCTTCCAGGTTGTCACAATGTTCTATTATTTATCCGTCTCGATCCGAATCGGAAGACAGACGTTGCCTAGCAACACGCCCCCTTTCCGGATTTCTCCGACGTCGGACAACCGAACACCGAGCAAGAAGTTTCGGAATTCAAGATGGCTGCGCGCCCTGTGTGACTTGTAAGTATGAATTGTTTTCATTGTTTTTGAACCGCTTTGGTTTTACATGACAATTATAATCACTTAACTGCGTCCCCTGTAGGTATGGGAATCGGTTGTTGTGAGTGCTAGCGTTGCTAACAGAACCCAGACAGATCCGGCCCACATCTGGCACATGTGGATTCAATGCAAACCAGATGAGGGCCAGATCTGAGCCGACACTGTCTGGGAAGATTGACATGAAATAAAGTGAACATTTTCAAGTTCAATGGCTGCGTTTTGATCAGTCTCTGGTTTTGATAAGGTGTAGTAAGAATATTTTTTCGAAAAGTTTTTTTTTTCCGAGTATGGGCGCGTATGACGTCAGACGCCGGAATTTCCTTACACGGTTTCCTTATACGCGCGCGCAGCTGTAGAACGATAGCTATAACCGTAACCTATGCCAATCGTGTGCATCGGCTGCGCTGCAATATGTCACCAAAGATGTGTGTTTTCGGTTGCCAAGGCAAGACAACACTGCACAGATTCCCAAAGAATCAAGCGTTAAGGGACCAGTGGATGGAGTTTGTTTTTCCAGAACATCAACAGAGTTGTGCAAGTGTTCTTGTTTGTTCCATGCATTTCAAGGGTGATTTTTTTTATTTTTTTATAAACAAGGCCCAGTTCGAAGCCGGATTTGCTAGTCGTTTAGTTCTCAAGGATGGAGCAGTCCCAACACTAAGGTTAACGGTCTTGCGTTGGAACCGCAGGCGGTGAGTAGACCTGCTTCAAATGTCTGTGTGTCTATCGGCGTGTATGTATGTAATTCAAATGTAATGTATCTATGGAGCATGCGACGTATGGTGTGTGTTTGTTTAAAAACATTTGTTTAGGTGGCTACTGTAGGTGTCTGTTTGTTTTGTAAAACCAAATCATGTCTTCATAAACCGCGAATAGACACACACAAATGTTTTAAAACTCGCGCATGTCATGGTGTTCTAAAAACACCGCCCACACGGCACGCCTCCAACCGCTCGGCTTTTTCCAGAAAGACTCGGTACAGCCTATCTTTATTTTATAAATATAATAAAACTAAAGACTTTTTGGAGATGCAATATTATTCTATAGGTACTCAAGATTAACATCAGATTGACTTAATATTTATTATTTTATATAGCTTGTAATGAGCACTGCCTGTTTTACCAGCTCACTCCTCCACACTGAGCTGTTCACTTTTCACTGACACATCAGATTTTTAAACAGATGCCATTGCGCCCCTTTGAGCTAACGACCTCACCCCACTGGCCAGGCATGCATGACTGAGAGATTAACAGCATCTAGTTAAGCATATGTGGCCTACTTGTCCATGTCATCGGATTGTTTATTTTTGTCTTCATTTTAGTTTTAAAATTAAGTAGGGGGGCGAAGCTATATTTATAGCCCATGGCAAAAACCAAATCTACACAAAAATAAGTTTTTTTTACACGTAGTAACTCATATTTAGTACCATATTACCATGAAGAACCCTCTATATATGCTGAAATTGTACTTTGTGTTAGAGTTTAGGGTTTTTATTCCTGCCTTTTTGTTTTTCAATCTGTAACTGTTAAAGCCCCCTCATTACTGATTTTCTGGAGCTCAGCTCAGTTGTACAACCACAGTTACTATAGATTGTCAACATACTTGTAAATTATTTTTTCCTAAATTGTAGATAAATTATAAGTTTAAAAATAGTATCAATCATTTCCTAACAATCATGTCTTTTTCCCTTTTTAGTTTAACAGACTATGTAAGTGTGTGCAGCTCTGTTCAGTTTACGTTAAGGATACTCATCATCTCTTTTCCACAAACTAACTAGGATTTTTTTATTATCCATATTGTTATGCCTAAACATACACAGTCACAAGAAACATAAAGCCATACCATGACTTTATATCACTTTTTCTTTTTAACATAAAGGGCTCATTCTGTCAATATTTGCTAATTTTGGCCTTCATGAACATAATTAATTTTACATTATCAAATGGAAGAGGCACAAAGTAACTCTAAATTCAGTTGTATATTTCAGATGCGGTCACATATCATAATCTCTCTTACAGCTATGAAAACCTTTTCACAATATTCTAATTTTGATTTTGGGGTTTTCATAAGCTGCGAAGCCATAATCATCTAAATTATAACAAATAAAGGCTCACTTTGCATGCGTCAATATATACTAAATAAGTTTCACCTTTTAAGTTGAATTACTTAAATTACTAGTTTTTGTACTACAATTACTACTGTCCTCTGGCTGGACGTGATAAAGAGAAAGTTCAGAATTAGAGAGAATTAGCTTTACCCTCAGTGAGGTAGAGAAAACATACGCCCAACGTGGGGCTCGAACCCACGACCCTGAGATTAAGAGTCTCATGCTCTACCGACTGAGCTAGCCGGGCAGATAGCGCCAATGACTGTAAAAGCAGCCTAAGAATGTTATACACCTTCACACAAAAAAATTTGAAAACTTCCTAAAAGCATCAACATTATTAAATATATACATCTTTATCCGGATGTATCCACTCTACTTATTTATCTATATGGAAAATGTTTAAAATCTATATACTATAGAATCTATAGTATATAGATTTTAAAAATTTGATGTGAATTTTGCGGGTCAAGACAGCAGGTGGTGCCCAAACCTCACGTTGGGGATTTCCCTAACACTCTGGGAAATTGTCCTATGCTGTTCTGTTCTGAACTGCTGTGGGTTGTGTGATAATTTTATTAGTTGTATTGTGCTGGCTATATAGTGTCTGTTAGCCTGGACTGCTCTGCTGCTCAGGGATGTAATGTTAGACTACACTGGACTGTACTGCTGTTTTATCACTGAAATAGTCTGGCTCAAAAGAATCTGATTACATTTCCCTCTATTTTCTCACAACTACATTGCCAGCTAGCTTTGTTCTGTGGCAACTGACCAAGGAGTCAGTTAGCGGCTAAATGATAGCTAAAACAGCTTAACCTGCAAATAACATTGTTAAAAGAGCTTTGAAGAGTTTCATTGAATTATAATGTCTCAAATTTAAAATTAGTACTTACCTTAGACGACTAAACGTGGCTGATAACATATATTATATAGAATTGTGTGACTGGGAGGGAGTGGGAGCATCACTGAATGTTATGTAATAGTTGTGTATGAGTTCCATAGATCCCAATTTCATACAGTCTCAGGATGAAGAGCAAAGGGCAGTTTAACTTTCACAACAGAATCACAAAACATACAAACAGTCATTGAACATCCCAGGTAACAACACAGTAGCAAGAATCAAGACTGTAAACTTTTGAACTTGTTCAAACTGGTTAATTTTTGCACATTCAGCTATTATTTTGTCTTGTCGTGGATATATAAACACAGCTGCTAGGCTATCAAAAAAAGCGTATTCAGGGCAGTGCAACATAAAAAAACATGCAATTTATGATCCCTCTTATTTATATATTTCATTTGTAATTATTAACCTTTAGCATATTTTATAATGTAGAAGAGGGCTTAAAGGTACAATATGCAAGATTGTTTCACCACCAGGGGTCGCTAACCTCAATAACAAAGGCGTATATTAATGACGTATATTTCGCATTAAGCGGAATTATGGATCTTGTCGTCAAGCTGATGGATCTTTTATGGATGAGTGAATACGTTGATGTTTTTAAGATGACTGTAGTATGAAGCAGAGCGCGATTGCTAGACATATACCAGCGCCACATAAAGAAATAAGGACATTTCATTCTACCGAACTACACGCTGAATTAATACTCACACTAGTCAGTTTATTAGAGGAATTAAACTTAAGGTAACGCAGTGCTGCTTCACTTGCTCTAACAGTTTCACTATCACACTAAACTGCATTTGTGTGTGTTGAATGTTGTTAGTTAGGTTAGATTAACATTAGAGAATAACATATAGATCATATTCTAACTTTTCATGTTGAACTATGTAACATTGATTAGTTTTATATGATTTGCTCACCTGTTTGCTCAAGTAACATGCAACACTCGCGTCTCTGTCAAGTTCAAGTTAGTCGCGGACGTGGAGCTCTCTGCATCTCGAAAGATGTTGATCTTCGTTTTAGTCCTCTTTTTGTCTCAAAGTCTGCTTGCCATGGTTCATAATGTTTGAACAATGATAGAACATCATGTCACAAGTCGAGAGTGATAATGAAGTGGCTCGGAGATCATTGCAATGACATTTTGGATTCGTGGCCAGGCATACCAGGCAAAGGTATATTTTGTGCTTTTTCTTTCATGGACTTCGACTACTACAGGTTAGCAAGATAAAAGCAGACATCATGATTTTGTTTGATATGGCTTTGACCTCTTTATTCCACTGTGGTCTTCCATTTGTTAAACACCTGAAACAAGCCTTATTGACCATTACAAAGGTGAACGTCACAGCAAAAATGGCACTGTTCGGTAATATTACTCGGCACTGAAACCAAGACAGAAAGGCTTACATGATGAAACAAAGCAAAACATTCATAACAGAGATATCAAATGTAAACACTAAAAAAATCTGAATTATGGACCACTGTAGTTCTGCAAACTAGTTTCATGTCTGGTTAAAGTCACATCATGTAATCCTTGAAAATTCATTGCTTGCAATGTACATTTTAGATGTAATACAATCTGACATAGACAAGATGAGTAATCAAAAAACTATATAAGTGAATAAAAATATAAATAGATGGATTAAAAAGTTAAGATTTTCTCCCAACCATGCAAATTAAATACAGAGGTGCAGCAGTGCAAATCTCCGCTATGTTGTCTAGCAAAGACGTCACCGGCCCGGGTCAAAAGAGATTATCTTCTCAAATAAGTCCACGCAATCTCATGTGTCCAGCTCTCAGAAAAAGGCTGGATTGGTATGTTCAATGACGCAGCGTTTACAGTGACGTTTGACAAAGCGCAGCGCCTCCAGTGACACGTCACAGTCCTGTACATTCAGCAGCTGAAGGTCGAAGCAGTTCGCCGCCACCACCTGCAGCCCACGGCCTGTGATGCTCTCGCACGACTTCAGACTCAGTCTCTTTAGGTTGAACGAGTTTAGTGCAAGCTGCTCCAGGCCTGCGTCCGAAACCAGCGGGCACTTCCCAATGTCCAGGGACTTGAGCTTGAGGCAGTTCTTGGCAAGGTGCTCAATGCCGTGGTCCGTCAGTCCCTCGCAGCCACGAGCGTTCAGGTAACGAAGTCTGACGCAGTATTTCGCCACATAGCGCACGCCCACGTCTGTGATGCGGCCGCAGTGCGCTATGCTGAGGTAGCGCAGCCGGCCCTCTAGTTTAGCGATCTCCCGCAGGCCAAAGTCACTGATGAAGCGGCAGTCGCTGACGCTGAGCTCCCGCACGGACGGACAGTAGATGACCAAGAAGCGCAGGCCCTCGTCGGTCAGACGCACGCAGCGCCGCAGGTAGAGGTGGGTGAGCTGAGTGCAGTGAGCTGCAATGGTGTGCAGGCCTTCGTCTTCCAAGGCGAAACAGTCAGTCATGTCAAGATAGCGGATAGATATCTGCTGGCCGTGAAGAGGGGAGAGTTTCACGGACACGTCCCGAGTTAGGCTGATGCACGTTACCTTAGAGCACCCTGCAGAGAAAAAGACAGTAAAGAATATGGACGTTCTAAAACAAAGCAAACTTCATTTGCATACACCATATGTAAGAATTAAGAACCTGATATGAAAATTTTTACAAAAACCTGTATTTAAAGATGAAGTGAGTAATTTCTGTGGTACGCCCCCTACTGG